TTCATAATCCTCGTTCCTACGGCGCACGGCCGGCGCACAATGATCCAAATATGTTTTCTGTATAACAAAACGCTTTTATAAATGTTTATCATCAATTTAAATATTATCTGATGCGGGTGGCATTCTGGCCGGGGGTGAGAGTGGAGCACGGCCACTACCGTCGGATCGACGTCAACCACTCTTTCCGTATCTCTGTCCCTCCATCGGCGACAGATGAGGAATGGCTTTGAGATTTTTCACTGCCTACCGCAGACTGCTTTTACGTCTTTCAGCTTTCGCCTCATCCCATTCCATCGCCTCGACGACGGCGACGACTTCTTCTTCTTTCTACCGTCTTCTCCCAACTCCCCCTCTCCCCCTGCTACCCTTCTTCACTTCGTCGGACTGGTAGAAGTTACGAATGAATTAGATCGAGAAAGAGCAAACTCTCTCTCCGTGGCACCGTGCAGCCGATGAACGGTGACTTTTTAACCCAACCCCGATTCGCGGTCGGTGTCCTTTATGCGAACTCCTCCATATCAATCTTCTCTCAGCCATCGATAGCGGATATCGCTACGACGTTTCGCCAACTTTGCGAGGAATTACGACGATTCAAGGTGTGTGCGCGCGCGAAAAATTGGAGTTTTGTGCCAATCTCGCGCATGAGATTTTTTTTTTTTTCAATCTTTTGTAAAAAAATATTTGCACGCGTTGCATGGCCATTGATCAGATTCGCGACTCGCAATGACGGAGAAATTGTCGCACCGTGAAAAACGTGACGTGAAATTTGGCAAAAAGATGCGCCAGTGGGCATTTTATTTTAGTTACAAGAATTTGCTGCACCGTGAAAATGAAAGGCAACGATACGCGGCGATTAGATTCGTGCGGCATGCGGGGATTCTATTTTTCCAGTTTGTAAGAGGAGCGGCAGAATTTCCCGATTTCGTTTTCAACGCGCAAGAGGTAACAAATTGAACGTTCCTTCGGTGCGAAAATGTGCTTCGCGGCGATTGTTCAGCCAGCTTCATGCATCGAACACGCTTCCGCGCAGGGTGATGGAGCGACGATGATTATTATTCTACCTCGAGGTGATGTCACAGGCCGACCATTTTTCTTTCACGGTGCACGTGTACCGCGAGCCAGGTCGGAGTGGCGAGATATTAAATACAATGAAAATGATTTACGAGCGTGAAACGTTTTCTGGGATTTTCTATTGTCCGAGGCGGGCACGATCGGCCAGCGATACTCGCGCCGATAATTTACGAATACCCGGTAATTATGTCGAAATGATCAACGCGAGACCCCGCTGTGTCCCGCGTAATGATAATCCCGCGAAATTGCACCGACGAGCATTTCCAATTTTGGCCGAACGGTGAATTGGAAACCGAAACGTGCAACTTTCACGCATACGTTACCTGTTATTTAATCGAACCGTGATCCGCCGCCGGAGCAATTTAAATTTAAATGTGGAAAACAACGCGGGGAGGCTTACTCGCTTTCGAAAGAGAGATTACGAAAGAAATAACGGGTGCATTTTTTCTTAAACGGTCAACAGCTCTGCTCGCCTGGGAAAGCTGTTTAACTTTCGCGCAACAATAGCGATGCGAACGTGAACGCAACGACAGCTTACTTCGCATGGAAAATGTTTCTCCTCGCTGCGAGGAGGCTCGTTTCTTTGTGCTGCCGTTGTCGAATTATTATACCGTGGAGGAAACACATTATCGCGTGGAAATAACGCGGCAACGATCGTCAATGGAATCGGATCGCGCGAAACGATAACGATCGGTGGGAGGCGGGAGAAAATGGATTTCCCGTCGCGAGGGCGACGCGACGACGTCGTAACGCGAAATATCTCTGGAAAACAAGCGGCGAGGCTGTGAAAGAATCGAATAAATTAATACTTAATCAGGACGGCAGGCGGACTACAGTCGAGTGGGAGGTGAGGAGGAAAAAAAAGGGAGGGGAAAGTGAGACAGCGACAACGATAGAGCGCGGGGGTGGGAAAAAGGGAAATTTACGAGGAGCGGACGTTTCGCGTTTCCACGATAATATCCCCGGGTGTCTCGTGATTAATGCAGCCGCTCAGTCGGTGAAAAGGCGGCGGACTTACGGCGGGATCGACTCGCGATGCAGAAAAACTGGCTGCACGGGACGGAAAGAATAATGGCGTCGCGCACTGATGACTCCTTTTGGAGGTAAACCACGGGGGCGTCGCGACGACAGCGAACGTTCGCGCGTTTGAACCCCTCGTGGGAAGGTTCGAATTGCCGGCAGACACCAGCGTGTAATACCGGGATCCTTGGTTTGCACGCGCGGCAACGATCTGCGTGCATTCGCCGCGGAGTTTGGTTCCTTCGAGCGGAACGCGCCGCGCGCGTATCAGCTCGTCGCGACAGGAAATCTACTGTGCCACGCCGCCACGGTAGTGCGAGCGGGTTGCTGATCGAACAATTGCCACGAAATTCGAGGCACTTGGCGTTCAATTGAAATTTCATCGAACTGTAGGTTCGGTCTAGATTTGATTTCAACTAAGAAGCAATGAAGGTGTAGAGAGAAAGAGGGGGGAGAGAGTGCATAGCAAGTGAATTCGGTTCGCCGTGCCTCAGACAAAGTAACATTGCACGAGACACGATATCGCGAGGTTGTAAAATCGGTCAAACTAATTATGTTATTCGCGAGTCGTGGCAAAGGAATTTGGTAGAAATGTTCTGTTCTAGAATTTCGACGCTACGAATTAGGAGCATGGAACTTTTAATTGAAATTTATGTTTGGATCACTATTTTTACTGCAAGTTGAATACCTACGTAATTAGATATCGGTGTTTCCACTTCGAGATAGTTTAAATTACAATCTCTTTACCTCGTAGCCTGCACTGTACGCGTGAATTGTAAAAAATTTATATGAAAATTATGTGTAGAAAAAAATTTGCTAGCTAAGCGAATGTCTAATTAATTAAAAGTACAAGTGAAGTACATAGGTACAAATACATAATTAAAGTACAACTAAAGTACATAGGTATGAATACGTAATTAAAGTACAACTGTATAATTAAAGTACGTAGGTACGAGTACAATTCGCAAAGGTTACGACGTTGTTCAGTGAAACGATTCCAAGAGTTATTGCTCGCATCGAGGGTTAGCACGCGTCGACATCGATGTATTAGTCACACGAAAGGATAAGTGGTATTCCAGGAAATCTAGGTTACCGTGAAATTTGTAGCCACGGGCTTCTTGATATTCATGAAACTTTTTGCCTCGGTATCGCGTTCTGTTTTTTTCGTTCTTCCTCGCCGCTTCCGTGCAGCTTCTTTCGACCTCTCCCCAATCGCTCACCGTGCCCGGTAATTGTCTTCATCCGTAACAAGTCCGAGTAGCTACCGCTTACGATTCCGAGGCAATACCGAGGCAACGTGCTGAATAAAATATTCGCCGCTGCCTGAGACGTCAGTCGCGCTCAATCTCCGCGCGAGAAGACGATACATCCGCGCCGGGGCGCATGCAACATTCATTTTCCGGACCGTTCGATAATTTCACAGTAAATTCACTGTTGGAGTTTCGAAGCTTGGACTGCTGATAATGCGCTACTCGACACTTCTCCCCATCCTCCTCCTCTGTCTAACCCTCCGGCACCGTCGGCCGACCTTTCTTCTCGCAGCAGAGGGAGTAATCCTCTCGGAAATCGCTCATAGACGAAACCTTAAAGTGGTAGTCGAGAAGCGGATTGATTTGCAAATGGAAGAAATCGACGACGGGAGTTGCGCGTCGAGTTTCTTTCTCGTTCGTGCTTTTCATCCGGCGTCCGAGACCTTTGACTTCCGAGCATCAATTTATGCAGGCCGGTCGCCGTGAAACGCGCCACTGTCGCGACGATGGCCCGTAACGAAACGACTTTCACGCCTGCTTCCTCTCCGGTCGTTTGTTCCTTGCCGATCGATCGTTACGAACATGCAGCCACCCGATCTGCGCTCGGGAAACAAGCGCGTCGCGGCGGATTTCGCCGAATCGAAGTTTCGCCATTCATGAAACGTAAACGCGGCAACCACCGATCACATCATCATCGTGCATTCCGGTACGATTCTTGCTACTGCTAGGAGGTAGTAATTGTAATTCAGTCGGCGCGCGCGGCTTTACTTTCGATCGGCGAGACGCACGAATTCGCCGGAATTGTAATCCTCGCGGGGGGGGGGGGGGGGGGGGCAAATGGAATACGAGGAATCGAAGGTCGTTGTTCCGGGGCTGAAATATCGATTGTGTCGTGCACGCCAACCGCGTGCCCGCGTTGAGATCGTGTTGCACGGAACAATGTTTCGCCCCCTCCTCCCCCTCAGACGCGAGCCGGCTAAATTATTAATCCGGCCTCGTGTAATCGCGTTGTTAAGGCGAAAAGCCTGCACGGCGCCCGAGCGTTCTTTGACACGGCACCGGCCGTTTAACGTCCGATCTCGGCTCTTTTCCCGAGCGTGTTACGTATCGGCAGGAAGTAACGTGACCTGGTCAAGAACAGACTCACGAACACGGCTGGGGATATCGCGAGCGCCGGCAGCGTGTAACAAGTGGTAAATAAAATTTCGACGGAAGGACGGCTCGTGCGAATTTGTCGGAATACACGAACACTTCGAAGAACGAGCACGTTGTCAAAAATTGGTAAGTTATTTGCAAAGGAAGTCGGTACGAAATTCACATTGAAAGAAAACATGAAATATAAGACGCAAAGGATTCTCGGATCTTTTAGAAATTCGCGAGGTCCCCAGAAGGAATAAGGGTGCTACCTGAAGACTATAAACGACACTCGGAAGCGACGAGGAAAGCCAATTGAATTCTACCAACATCGATTTGTATAATTGTATATTTTCTACATAATGTACACGTAGAATTAAATTTCGCTCGCATCGTCAGCAGATTCTTCAACGTGTAGGCATCCAAGGGAACGAGTTGCGGTCGCGCGGTATCGCCGAGCTGGAAGATTTCGCGGCGGACGTACATTCAGGTTGAAGCACCGTGGAAAACACCGTGCTATCGGATTAAATGCATCTGCAACTGTTATCTTCTCGTCGATGACTCGGAGCCAGCCACTTCCGCCGCTACGTTCTTTCATCCTCGCGTGTTTCGTCGAGGATACGTGCCCATCAGTTACGTACTTTCCGGTAACTTTATCGTGCGTGTATGATTTTTCGTGTGACAGCACATGAGAAAGAGAGGAAAAGAGAGAGAGAGAGAGAGAGAGAGAGAGAGAGGGCGACAGAAAGAAAAGTAGAAGAAGAGAACAACACGTTGGCTGAACGCTCGGTCGCCGAGCCGGATAACATCGATACGAATAAAGTTGTGTGCATTTCGTTTTTCACTGCGTTCTTACCGTTGATCCGTGGTCTGATTCGCTCTCGCGTTCCCCGTTCCTCGCAGATCGACTCGATAACTCGAAAGCTCTTCCTGCCTTTCGTTTCAATTAACGGATCGTGCATGCGACTTCTCATCCTACTTTCGACGCTCGTATCGACCGGCTCTTGCGACTGTCGTTTCCCCGTTGGCCAATTCCTCCACTGTAATCGTGTCAGTTGTAAACACGCGTGTTTGCGTCACTCGATTTGCTAGGAATTTCCAATTACTTTCTCTATCCTGTTTGCAGGAATAACTCTCTAGTTTCTTTGAACGAGAAACCACTCGGTTCCGCAGCGCCCCGCTGTAAAATCGTTTCGATAAATTGCTCTCGCGACGTAGCCGCGTATCACCGACCGCTTTTGATCTCTTATTTATACCTTTCATGCGCGTTAACTTCGATCTATCCGGGTATTCCCTAAAAAGAATTCGGGACTCCCTTCTGTGAACAAATTATATCTTATATTTAGACCAAGATCAAGTTCAATATATTTCCAACTACAATATAACAAATTTCGCAACTCTGGATGTAAGTGATAAATATTGAATGAAAAATCACTGAACGCGATATATATTTACACGATACGCTTCAAACAGATCTGCTCATGCGGTTCATTTCCCTTTCGCATTTGAGAAAACGAAGCGAAGAATATTCCTAAATCACCAGTCATTCGTCGTATCGTCGCAATACAAATATCGTAAATTTGAGCGTGTCGTAGAAGTGATACGGATCAATCACAAACCGTCCGCATCGCCGGCGGTTTTATCGTTTTTCCTCGTAACAACAAGCACGAATCGTTCGCGCCAGCACGAGCAAAGAGAGCCAGTTCTCGACTGGTTCAATTCGTGCATGTTTAGAGAGGATGGATGGCTAGTTTCGCGCACGCAATCGCTCGTGCCTGGTTTCGTTATCGCGCGAGCACTTGTCATTAACCCTCCCCCGGCCATTTTCGAGAGACGAGTCGACGACTCGACGCTCGTGGAGTTGCTCTGCGGACGCGTGCGTTTGTCGTTATCAATTTTACGATTCCGAGAGAACGCAAATATCCCCGCCGGTATTGTTTCACGCCTGAGAAGCCGCGCCGCGTTTATTCATCGGCGGCGAGTACCGGCGCAACGTGCTACAACGTGCGACAGAGAAACACGTCGGCGAGCATCGCGTTAATGATTACGGTGGTACGTAACGGTGGAAACCAGCGTGGCAAATAAAAATCCGTCGGTCTTGTTGTACGCATTGCGACAAACCGGAGGCCGTGGCGTAGATGGTCGCGCGACGATAATCACTTTATGACCGCCGGTCTTTTCGACCATTCTCTCGTATCACGACCGAATTTATCTGTCCCAATTTCGAGACAACACGTTGGTATAAAAAGTCCAATATTCAATAAAGTCAGTCATTTGAACAATACAAAGATACTCTGTGGAACTCTCTACAGTAGATATTCAGCGTTGCAACTTTAATACTTTAACTTTTCTGTAATGAATCGCGAACAATCATGGACAACTGACGCTGTAATGAAACACTGTAGACTCTTTTATCGAAAAGTTTCCTGATATAACGTGATCGCCGTTGAGTATCCTAATCGATACTTTTTTTTTTCTTTTCTTTTTGGAGTAATCTTTTCTTATTATCGTGACATTCGCTTCGATCTGCGACTCACCTGTGAACTATATAATTGTTCAAGCTCGATCAAGAGAAAACGAGAAACGAATGAGAAAGGTAATGTTGAATCTACGATATTCTGGAAAATGAATTTCGTTTAAATGAGTGGGACAAATAAACGCTAGATCAACAATTCTGTAGAAACGGAATACCATTGATTTAGTTCTTACAATTAGATCAATAGTAGTTCAGTTAAATTCGCAACTTCGTAAGAAACGAATAATATTGCTTGTTATGCTAATTTCATTTAATGTTCCAACATCAAAAGGAAAGATGGTTCATAATACACTGAATACTATTGTTGGAGTTGGTTGTTTTGCAAAGGATAGGAAGAATAATCCATCAAGTTTTTCATCTTTCATCGTTCAAAGCTTCGAATATAGGATAATTTCACCTGGATGTCTGTTTTGACGGAGAAATTTAAACATTTGAGAGACATGTTTCATTTACCTATTTACGTCTGTCAAGCTTCTAGTTTGCAATTGAGTTGAGGCAGAAATACTTACGGCAAAAAGTTAATTTCAAGCAGGAGAATAGATCAATTCGATAAAGACCGATTTTTGTTAATAAAATTATCAGCCACAGCATTTTAAGGAATAAAATTCCAGAAATTCGCGAATGATAAATACGATCAAAAGTTCAATTATAAATCGACGAAAATCGGTGAAAATTCACGATGTGAAAAACCGCCACGACATGTGATATATATATATATATATATATATATATACACGAGATATATCGAGGACATATAATGCACCATATACCATCGACCGCAATCGAAGAACGTCTATGGGCCACGTTCGGTTCCTGATTTGTCGCGGTTCTTCCGGGAATTTCGGCTATCGATCCTCGTTCTTGTCGCCATGCGAGCCCATTAAGCGCGATCATTAGCTCCGGTAGGATGCCGTTGTCAGCGTCGGTGACGTCGCGTCGCATTATCGCGACTGGCGAATCGGGACAGAGTAATTGACATAATTGTCCGGCACGTAAAATCGATCGAACATACCCGATGAGAAGGTGTCAATGCCAAGAAGGGTCCGCGCATCTACCATCAGATTATTTGAATTTATCGGACAACCTCTAATACTCGGGGCAAACGCGTCTCCTGCGCGTCGTATCTGTATCTTGTCCGTGAAATTCAGTCCGTCTTTGACTTCGTCAAAGATCGATGACCCTCTGTTAAATAATTTAAGTAGCTTCTGTCGTTGGTCGTACGTTCACGTGTTTCACCTGCGATGCAACTCGCCGTATGAAACTGTGCATTCGAACGTATGCACGTGTGCAGCTCTTGGAAACGACCAGCTATTACTCAAACATGGAAATGCCGTGTTTATCGTGAACAAAGGGCCTATAACGCGAGTATATACGCCGTTTTCCTTGCGAAAATAACGGAGACAGTAGCTCGGCACGGAACGACCTACGATGGTACCGGTACGTCGATTTGTTGCCAATTATCTACGTATCTTCCACTCTCTGTCAATGTCATTCCCATTTCGCCACAGAGCTCGCCCCGTTCACCGAATTATTCTTATTACACTTGAAACGATAGGAGACAATACCTACTGTCGAAGCAGCGCATATCCTACCTAATTGGCATAATTTCTCTCCACGTAGTAGAAACGCAACGTAGATCCGTGGCACGATGATGGTAATTGTGAGAAACGAACGACGATCACACACACGCACGCACGCACGCACGCACGCACACGGGCACGGATACAGACACGCGCGTTGGCAATTTGGCTCGATTACACGGACATGCAGAGTCGGCTCGTTGGTTTCGTGTCACTCGGTATTATAAAGAAACTTTCTGGCCGCGAGTCGCGACACGGTATTTCCGGAAACGTTTTCCTCGAGCCACGTTGTGCGGCTCGTTCGTTCGTTCGTTCGTTGCCTCTAACGTACCACACGCTCCTCGTGCGTTACTACCCTCGTACGAGGAGGCGGCGGAAGTTCGTGAGGGAAACGCGCGAACGAAAACGCAACGACAATTTATTAACGATCACGGGCGTCTGGTAATTGTTTCCGTCGTGAACACGGGTCGCGCGGGTGCGAGAGCGTGTGTAACCGACCGGGTATGAGCGGTATCGCGTCCGGCGGCAGCGATTTTCTCCGTTCGGAAATCGGGAGAGATTTGTCGCCGCTCACGCGTGGAGTATTTACACGAGCGTTGGATCATTAACGCGGTGCATATCCGCGGTGTCCTCTCGCCGTCATCGATGACGCGCCACCATCCACAGCGATACCGGACCAGCTATAATTGCTGTAATTTCCCAGCGCGTGGAATCTGTCGGTTGCGTCTGCGCGCATGCCGAACTTCCAGATACCTTGCTCGATGGAACTGGCGAAACAATTATGTTGCGGATATCGCGAAACGGTACACACGCGTATACATGTGGGACACGCGTATGCACACCGCATGCCGGTGAAGTGCGCCGGACGCGCGTGTCTCAATCGTGGTGATCGAAATCTACGAAACAATTGAATTTACCGAAGATTGAGCGGTGATGGTAATTTCCAATCGCACAGATTACGGATCTGATTGCGGATTAAGCGATACTCCCGGACTATTTGATTAGCGGGTATATCGGAAATTGCACTAACAAGTACGACGAAAGGAGTTTATTGCCCGATCGATGAAACAATCTCGCGATTACGAGGATAATCGGCGACAGTGGCGGGAGAGGAGTGTTTGATTCATTGACTGATTCGTTGTTGGTAGTCCGATCGAGCCTTGTTTCTTCCAACTTTTCGTCTCGTCAGGCACGTTGAGAATCGCGTCCAAAAAACAGCACACGTTCTACTTGGCGCTGTTTCTTAGACGCAGCCATAAGCGCGCGTTCACGTTTTGCAAAAGAACGGGCGTTCAACTAGAAAATGAGATCGAACAGAACATCCTTGCTTACGCGAACTTTTCAGATATACGCGCCAAGTTACTCGCGGTATGTAATCCGGTGAGATTACGTTTGCGATATCAATTATTCAATTCGTTGAATTCAATTTACTCGACGCAAGGTCCGCTTCTTTTTTCTTTTTTTTTTTTTTTTACCGTGACTATAGAGCGTTCCAAGGGCAACGACGCGGCTTCGCATAAAGTGTAATTGCACGCCTACGGATCTCTTTCCTTTTTTTTCGCCAGCGTTCTCTCGCTCGTGTGGGCTTAGCTCGACCTCTTTACCGCCCGTCGAAACTCTCCGTGACGTTCACGCGGAACGGATGTTGCGTAAATAATTGCAACGCGCGTTGCATAATGAAACAGCCGTATGGAATCGAGCAGGTTATAGAGCGTCGTGTGTTTGCTGTTGCAACGACGCCCCCGCGACAATAAACAGAGAAATGACAGCCGATGGAAGGAAAAAGCCGCAGCACACCGTGGGACACGCGCAGCGTGGAAACGACACTTGTATCGCGATAACGCTTTACAACACCGTACACTTCCTGATTTTTTCAGTAGCTCGATGGGACAGTATGTGCGGACGTTGCAGGCCAACTGCCGCAACACAGATGTGTGCATGCATGTATAAAATGTTTCCTCGTGAAACTTTCTTGGAAACCTCTGCGAATCGTCGAGGAGGAATTCCTTAGTGATGACTGATGGGGAAATATTTCTTTCTCCGAACACTTTCTTTTCCTTTTCAAATACCTTGTTTCCAAAAGTTATCGAGAAACATTTCAAAAATCTTTAACTGTGTCCGTTGAAATCTTTAATAACAACACCTTTATTCAAGTCAAAGTCGTTTGAGACGCGGCGTTCAAAATCGATTCTTCGATTCTTGACATTTGAAACATAAAAAAGAAGCGTTGTCAATCGACTAAAGCTTCGCCGCGTACATAATAAGCGTTCAAATATACTTTTTTTTTTTTCGAATCTACGCGTCACGTGTCGAACCGGATTAACATGAATTACGAATAAAAAAAAAAAAATGTATCGTGATAAAATACTTTTGTACCATGTGTTATTACAAAAAAAAAATGCGCTTTCAAATGCGTCTCGATGGAAAATCTCGTCGCGAAACACTGTGATCCGCGCGTACGCAGCGACGAGCGCGGCGGATCGTTCGAAAGAGAGAGGGAGTAATCGAAACGGAAGCTTCAACTTCCGTTTAGCTCGCAGTAGTTGAACATACGAGTCGGCGTGGCACCCCGCAGGAGGCATTGTCCGGCCGCTGAATGGCGTAGACATAATTCGTATAATTGCGGGACATGCGCCACTCATCGTTCGCCATTCTTCCGCGGCAGTACGCAACGTACCGCGGTATCAACCGCGCTGGTACACGCGAATGGCAATAAACAGCCTGGCACGATGGCTGATGGGACAAGAAGACAATTGCGGGTGTACGGGAATACTCACGGAAACGGAACACTCGTGTCGCTGGCGAACGATTTCCACCGGCGAAAACCACGTTTTCCTGCCTACGTTCATACTGTTCGTACCGTCTCTCCCTCCCTCTTTTCGAGGAAAGCTGGCACACGCTGACGATTTTATAACCGTGTGGTCGATTCGATCCGATTTCCTACTGTCGTTCGACCATACGTATCGTCGTTCGACCGGTGTACCGTTGCCGAGGTGTTTTTGAAACTCGGTGAGGAGATATCGGGTCCCGGTAGCGGTATAAGCTGTAGATGATGCAGAGAAAGCGTACAAGAGCAACACGCGACGAGGGGAGAAGTCCGATTTTCCGATCGGTCGTGTGTCGACTGTTGGCAGAGACGGCTGAGTGCCAAGGAGGTAGGGGGGGAAAAAATATGCTTCCCATTTCCGACGTAGCAGCGGAAATTGAAGAAGTTGCGCGAGACGGTACTAGAAATTATTTATTACTCGGTCGCCGAATGCTTTCGTTGGCTTGCGAACTGTCACGTGGTTTCTCATGTTTCTTTCGACGACTCAGCATCGCCGATACCCACGCTTGGTGGTGATGTTTCAACATATAGAATATCAAACGTATCGCGGTTATATCTCTATATTTCTCGGACGATACTGCGACAGTGCAGAGAGAACGTGGGAGACGTTTTGCTTCTGTTTTGAAGAGAAGTGTTTTCCAACGGTGTGGATTGAACGCCACGGACCGGTGATAAAGAGTAACGTTACAGCCGTGCCAGTTTAAATTCCACAGCGTCTTATTCGGGGAACGGCGCGGATTCCCCGCGTGCTGAGACAAAAGGGAGCGGTAGTTGTTAGCTATCAGCGTGCGCCCCCGAGTCCCTCGCTGTCCTCTTGTTTTCTCCGCCTCGCCCGAGGAAGCCTTCATCGAAACGCTAAACGCAGAAGGCAATATCGGCAGAGACCGAGCGGTTCAAAGCACGATCGTCGCGTTCCCAAAGCGAAAGAATGGTTCCTGTTTCCTCGAGGAATTCGAATTTTCTCTCCCAGATTCACTGCGTTACATTTTAAAGCAGTTCCGTGTCCGTTGCAAATACTGGTAGGCAAAAAGGGAAGAAAAGAAAAGGAGAGAAAGGAGAGAGGTAAAAAGAGTAGTCGGAGGAAAAGGGCAAAGGAAAATGAGAGAGAGAGAGAGAGAGAGAGAGAAAGGGGGAGGGAAAGTTGAACAAATCGTTAATAAAAATCTGCGCGAACTGAAAATCTATAAGAGTCGAAACCGAGCGCCGCCTGCTACGCTAAGTAACTTTGACAATATCGTTCTTTTCCCGTGCTCCTACACCTGCGCCCGGTTTTTTATCGCTAGAACAATTCCTTGTTTTTGCCATCCGGCCGCCCAACGCACGACCGCCACTCCCCTCCTGGGGAACTTTTTATTGCAAACACGCTTTATATTTTATATCCAATCAGAACGGGGCTACAGGTTGCCACGATTCGTTCGAATCTTTCACGCGTCGAGGATAACATAAATGGATATTCCCGTATTCTTTTCTCCTCCTTCTTTCCTTCCTCCTTCTACCTGCCTCCTATATATTTTTCTCGTCCTCGTCGAAACGGTGTACACGCTTTCGTGCGACTCGCAGGTGAGACGAATGGCGAGTGGAAGAATGTCGGGACACAAAAGGACGCCAGGAGCATAACACGCGTGACTCGTTCGAGCTCACGGTGCACGGTACACGCAGGTACTCTCGGCCCAAGGTTCGCGTCGCTGGTAAATTAAATTCTAATAAAGCTCGCCCGAAACGGCGAGGAAAAAAGTATCGGGGAAAGTATATAGGCGGCGAGTGAACAATGGCGGTGGAAGGCGTCGCAGGCAGAGCGCGCCTTCGGTCGACGCGAACCGCGGATAATTATATTGAGGCGGCGACCAGGAATTCGCGCAGAAAAACTTGTCTTCGGGCCGTACGGTGCTCCGAATGCCGCCATGGGATGGTTAACTAACTCGCTGGCCAACGTTGCCCCACGTTTGTGTTTCGCTAAGGTAAGGTGGTGTCGCTCTCGAAACGCTCGTGTAGAAAAACTGATCGGTGAAAAAGACGGCGCGGCGAATAGTTTCATTCCTGCTGTTCCCCCTGTGGACTTTGTCCCGGCAACACGCGGGTGTCTCTTGTCTCGTTCGGAAGGCTTTGATATCTTTCTGCGTCGGTGAATGCCACGGCGACAAAAAACCGCGTAAGAAACCCCGGGCTGATTCAACGTTATTAATGAGAAGCTCGCTTGGTGGCTAATATATGGAACGTGCGAAAAGTCACGAGTGCGAGGACGTGGCGTTCGAGGTGGAGTTGTGGCTCGAGTCGGATCGTGACGTGTGAGTCAACAATTTTTAAGCGTGTTTGACTTGTCACTGGTGGTAGCAAGATAATTATTAAATTATCGAACCGAGACGTTGCGATTTAGTAACGCGTGCGCGTTAATTTCGTTAGTTTTCTTAGAGTTTTTCGCATAATATCTCCTCGTTGACTCGAATGATCCTATCGTAGGATTTTTTAAAATTAGACTGTTCTCCGAAATGCCGAATTTTGCATGAGCCTGTGACAGTCACCGGCATAACAAGTTACAGTTAATACAGTTGCTGCTACTTGGTATATATGTACGGATTTTAATATTGGTCTTTGAAATTATATCATACAAAGTTGCAATTCCTAATTGTTTTTTTATCTTCAAAATAAATTTTACTGTTTGATACATAATTTGTATTACATTCTATATTTCACTTTTTTCCCTTTGTTTTTTGGACGCTATATTGTATTATAATGTATCGTCAAGTTTCATTATTCTGCGCAAAGTTCGGGCTTGAGAGAAACTCGATCGGAAGGCGAAATGATTTTGTCCTTTCGTACAGGTTATTCCAGACTTTTCAATGTTGCGAGGGATTTGAAGTTTAACCAAAAGTTTATTGCTTCTTTCAGGATCGACACGTGAAGAATTCCAGCAAGGATCCTCAGATGGACTCCAGCCAAGACTATTGCCTGCTACTAGGTTACGAGAACAAGACGCACACGGTTCTCCGTTTCAGCAGACGATACGATACGTGCGACCCGCGGGACCTCAAGATCACGGTAGGTGGCTGGTTTGATTTATATCGGCTCGCGGCGTGAAAGATAATTTCGCGTGGCGCGCCAACTGCTCGCTTGAGGATCGTTTGACGGATTTACGAGAAAAATTGAACAGCCGAGCATGATGCCAACTCGGCCGAACACAGGAATTATTTATCACGGTTCTTTAGGAAATTGAGCACCGCGGGTTCGCATGCCGCGCTTTAAATAATTAATCCGTCCCGCTGCAATGGCAAGCGAAAATACATCACGATCGAAGTACTTAATTTCACGATCCTGCAAAATTGCCGTCAATTTCACAACAATCTCGCGTTTGCTTACGGCCACCGAACTGTGGACCGAACAGAATAACGTGATCGATATCAACTATCTGTGTACGTTTCGCCGTAAATTTATTCTGGTGGCGTGATTATATCGCAACGTTGCTATTTGTATTAACCTAAATATATTAAATACCTCCCGATAATATAAATAACATCTGCTTTTACGACGAAGTGCACATTTCTTATTTACGATGTTTATGATAAATGCAAGAGTTTATAATAGGGCTGAATTTAGAGAAACGATTGCACTTGTATTGAATAGTTTGACAGAATTTAGCCGTATCCAATATTGTTGGTCAATAGTTTCTGCGCTTTATACGTAACAAACCTTATTTAACGCATTCACGATCCATAACGTAGTCTTATATCTTATATCATTTCAAAATTGGCGCTCTTGCTAACCCTGAGACTTATACATCACACCAGAATGTAATTTCCATTTGTCCAATGAATGATAAGTGAACAAGAATATTGCAATTATTCAAGTTGAAATAATGCCACTGATTATAATATAATAGTCAAGCGTGCAAAGTGAACGTGGTAATACTTGTACGGTAAGAAATTGATTGTTCATCACCCGTTTTTTGTTTTGTCAAAATTATCAGTATCTTCGTTTCAAAGTTTTATTACATTACATATTTTCTTTACACGTTGATCATTTAAAAGAAATGAAATTATTATGAGAAGGAGTTTTGTGAATAACGCTTACGTGGAAAATATCAGAATAATAAGAAACGACGAAGACTTATAATTCTACCGATAACAGAGATGAATCAGGATATTTGTTGTAATCACACACGTGTAAATAGCAGATTTACTTGCGGTATTCAGCTTTTTGGAAATTATATATACAGATTTTTGGAAATTATATACACAGATTTCTGAAAATTATATACACAGATTTTTAGAAATTATATATACAGATTGTTGGAAACTATATATACAGATTTTCGGAAATTATACGCAATGTTCAGTCAAATGTCTCGCCCGATAATCGCCGAACTCGAACTGGTGTTAATTACAAATTAAATCTTAAAATAAGAAGTCATATAATCTTAAAACAAGCAATCGTAATATAATCTTAAAATAAGAAATCATACATACATATACATGAAATCGGGAGGAAGCTTATCTACGATTCTCAACTTCCCTTTACAAAGAGGAACGTCCGCCTGAATGCGAGCGATTAGAATTATCGTGCAGAAAGGGACGAGGCGATCCGGGGATCAGCGTGGTAGCGTCCGACAATGGGAAATCGTGGAAATACAAGCGCGATTCATTACGCGTCGCAATTAACGTTAATTAACCGACATTACGAGTAGCAAATACGCGGCGCGGCGGGAGTGAAAGTGTCAGGAATTTCAGGATGGTTCACGGTCGGCTAACGAGAACGAAGTAGTGCGTCGGCGTTACGGAAAGTCGAGGGCGGTATGCAGAATCATTAGCGAGCCAAAGAGGAGAGTGAGAGAGAGAAAGGAGCAGAGGAGGGAGAGGGAGAGAGAGGGAGAAAGAGAGAGGTATTAACATAGGCCGGTGAAAATTCAAAGACTCGTTATCACCAGGCAGCCTTCGTTCCGTGGATTCCGCGCGGCCGAATAGGACAGGCCGACCTAGTTCTTTATTTCGCTGGTAATTAACTCAGGAATAGATCGACGCGCGATAGAGCCGTCCATTCGGTTGGTACCGCGGCTTCCACTCCAATGCAAGAGATTATGCGCGTCTCGCGATTCGCTCAAGCCTAGAAATTTATGGCAGCGAAGCAGGCCAACGTTACCCCTTCGAGGGATTGTTAGTCGCGTCTTTAATAGCCGCCACTGATATGCAGTTATGTCTTCCGACGTCTTCAGACACGCGTTTGAAGCTTCGTTCGAACTTCTCGTTGACGTAACGACCAGCAACTATTTTTCGTCGACGTTCCACGTTTCTAGCAAAATAATTTTACATTTTCGTTGCTGTTTGTTGTCACCTTTAGTTTAACCTCTTGCGCTGGCAACTGGTTCGCGGACCACAACGAGTGACCGAACCGTATACAATAGTTCGTCGCTTTCTTTTTCTTTCGAACTCGTCGGTATGATATCATTGGATAGAAATTGTTAAGAAGTTCACATTTAAATACATAACATAAAACTGAGAAATGTGGCAATTTGGGACAAAAAATTCTCGACGTGCGTGGCACGTCATTCCAGCGCAAGAGGTTAAAGTGATAAAGATCAGACGCAGTGATATACGACAACGAAAATAAATATTACCGATTATTGCTGGGGGCATTTAACTAGCGTCATTTTAAAAGATTTTAATGTTTCTTTCATACGTCTGCAGATACGCGAGTGAAATCATCACCTCAAAACAACTATCGGTGGAAAGAGGAGACAAGTTAATTGATTAAAGTTGACGAACGGCTTAATCCCTGATTCCTGCTTATAATAACCGCTAAGTGTCGTTGAAAGGCCAGTAACATGTCTGCATCACGGAAAACGTAATTGAACGTTTCTCCTATCCGAGTCTTGTTAGGCAGTAGTCAAACGTTGTGAAGCGATCACGAACTTCGAAATAATTACGGTTTACGTTTCGCGTGGTAACGGCGTTTATGAGTCGCTGATATTGGCGAGCGCCGCGAGGAAACATGCATGTACAAAGCATGGCAACGACTCGTCGGACGACGAATGTTTGCCTTCTGTGTACGCGTAAATAATTGACGCGCGTGGAGCGCAAATACTGACGAGGGAACGGAACGAAGTCGAAGAGAAACGTTGGAAGACCGGTTGGCGCGAGGAATTCATTCGGATGAGCGCCGGGCTCGCGTCGCGCAACGCGCGAAATAAGATTGCTCTGTCAATAGAGTAATTACACATCGTCCTCGCGGAGAACGGAATTACGCTGGCATCTATTTATTCTGCTCTGTATGAGGAAAGTTAATTTGAGCAATTTTTCAGAAACGTTCACTCGACGATACACCAAGGTGAATTAACCTAAGTCAGTATAGTCCCGCAGACTAAGAAAAGTGTAAAAGTTAGCAAGACGAGGACCGTGTCACTCGCGACTAGTCAGGTCCGTTTATTTCTTTCCCTCTTGAATTCCGCTGGATGACACAGCGCGCGAAACAATCAACGAAATTGGTTTGTCGATTCCGAGGACCGAGGAGAAAGCCCACGATATGCAGATGAAGATTTCAGAGTCGCGTTGTCACCGAGTCCGATCTTTCGCACGTAGGTCGCTAAACAGGATTCAAAAAAAAAAAAAAAAAAAAAAAGAAAGAGAGAAAACGGTCGGCGATCTTGATCTTGAGAATCCGTTGCGAATGAGGGAACTGAACATGGCGGATGCACGGGAATGTCCATCTAGCAGTTGAGTCATCAAAATACTTGGGTGCAAAAATAAAGCGAGCCACCGCGAGTCGAGATTCTATCGGGACGACAAACGACGAAGTCAGCTCCCCTTTCCCTTTATCTGATCGCGTGACGTATCGGTACCCTACATGATATTTTTACGTGTCACGTTCCGTCCTGGCAGAGGGCGACCCTAACCGAGAGATAGAGAGAGAGAGAGAAGAGCAGTTGGTGGCTCTCGCGAAAGGCACCGCTCAGCCCGTAGGTGGATCCGAGATACTTTAAAACGGACTCGCGAGCTTCGTTGTAGCGTCTACGTTCGTACAGGGTTATCGGCGATCGCTGAGTCGCCAGGCGAAACCATACCACCAGGCCTCTTTGTCTCGAAACGAGAGTTATGGCCGAAGAGATCGTGGTTACGGCCGGCAACAGGGTTATTCTTCGTGAATAAATGGGTCAAACGGTGATGCAATATATTCTACTGCGAGACGTCGTCGTCGAGGCGAAAACCTCGTGGATCGTCGCTTCTATAATGCTAATTCTTTCGTTGCGCGTAGAGTGTATATCTCAAGATGGAAATGGGAAAGGAAAACTTGACAATGGATCGAACTTCAAGCACGTGAAACTGGCGTACGTACGTCCGACAGTGAGCCGACGTTCGACTACACATAGTAATCGTGACGAGATGGAAGCTTTAGTTTATACGTGTAAGACAAAAAAGAACGTCGTGGCACGCGCGTCGATTCCGTGTCAAATTATCAGCACGCGCGGTGTGCAGGTACGCGACCGTGTTTCTCATGTGCACGTGTTTCTCTCTGCAAATTAGCAATAGGTAGATAGGCAATAGGCAACGTAGCTGTATAACTGGCGCGATGCCTCGAACCATTGTTATTTCTACCGACAACCACGGCGGATTAATCAAATGAACATCAAATTAAGCGACGCTCCGTTGTAACCGGCTTGCACAGAAGAGAGCTTCGATCGCATATTAATATTGTACGGATGGCCTAATCCTTTGCTTTAGTATGCAGACAGTCTCATCAGCGGTACGTGAAATTAAGCCTGACTACGTCGTAGACGTAGCACGCATGTAGCCAAGAGGATGAAGAGAGGGAGGGCAACAACGGGTCTTACGAGGCCCTCTCGTATTCACGAGACGATGATATCCGCGCGTCGCTCTTGTAATTAGTTCATTAGCGAGCAGTGTACGCGGACCGCATGGTCATCAGAAAGGAGGAAGGGAGGAAGGGAGGAAGGGAAGGAGGGACACGTGACGTTTCGGCGTGCATTGAAACATATATTTTTCATAATTAGGCTTTGTTTACTTGGCGACCGCGAGTCGTGCCGAGCAGAG